AAGTGCACAAATTTTTGTGCACCGGGCCTCTAGTACATATATATTCTCAACTACTGCTGAAATGTGTTTTGAGAGTTTTCATAATTCTTGAAATCATTTGTTCTGATTGTTCTTAAGTGCGGCAGAAAAGAAGCTTTCTACTTTCTACTTCTTGCTTTTTGGGTCCCCCAAAATGGCTCAATGTACCCGTGCCCCACAGGCTTCAAGAGTTAGGTTCATAGTGATAATACTGATTACTTTAGCTGTCATTTATTGAAGGCCTGCTCTGTGCCAGGCAATGTACTACAGGATTGACTTAGATTGTTGCTAATCTTTACAACAGGCAAGGTAGGAAAATTATACCTGTGAAGAAACTGAAGCTCCGAGACATGAAATGATTGCCAAAGTTGATCAGCTAGGAAGTGGTGGAGCCCAGATTCAAACAATTCTTTTTGAGTGTAAAACTTACGCTCTTTATAATTAAACATGTTAAAAACCTGTAAAGTGTGTTAAGTATGTTTTATATGGTTTATGGGTTTATGGTTTATGGGTGTGATGGAACAAACTCTTGAAAATTAAACTTTTATCAAAGAAATATGTATGGTATTATATTTAATACTGAAAAGTATACCTAGCTCTAACAGAAAAAATTCTTAAATTTTTAGGTTTAAGTTCTTAGACATCTCATTCTCTCCCACCACTACCCCCCCCCCCCCCCCAAAAACACACACACACCTCCACCTACATGGCAGCAGATCTGTATCCATTTGCATCTGGACCAGTTTTAGGTGAAAAAATAAATAAAAATGAAAATACACACAGACAAAATAATGATAGTTTTTTGTGCTTAGATTATTGAGTACTTTCTATTATAGACTTAAAATCCTAGGCTGGCTTTTTTTTTTTCATAATTGTTCTAAGGTGACCTTATTTTCTGGATTAATAAAAGGAATCTATGTATAAGAAACTAGAGGTCCGGTGCACGAAATTCCTGCACTCAGGGGAGGGGGATCCCTCAGCCCAGCCTCCGCCCTCTCGCACTCCAGGAGCCCTTGGGGGATGTCCAACTGATGGCTTAGGCCCACTCCCCATGGACATTGGTTGGACATCCTTAGCACCGCTGCGGAGGCAGGAGAGGCTCCCGCCACTGCCGTTGCACTCACCAGCCGTGAGCCCGGCTTCTGGCTGAGTGGTGCTCCCCCTTTTGGAGCTCACTGACCACCAGGTGGCTGCTCCTGCATTGAGCGTCTGCCCCCTGGTGGTCAGTGTGCGTCATAGCGACTGGTTGTTCTGCCATTCGGTCGATCTGCATATTAGCCTTTTATTATATAGGATGCATATTAGCCTTTTATTATATAGAATAGTTGGAAAGATGTAGTTTGTAAACTAATTTACTGATATTTTTGAGCAGTTTCAATCAGTGGTTTGTGGGTATGATAGAACAATTCTTAAATACATAAAATTTTAATCAAAGATATATTTATGGTAGTACTAGAGGCCCAGTGCACGAATTTGTGCATGAGTGGGGTCCCTTGGGTTGGCCTGTGGAGGTTGGGCCCGGCTCGCATCCCCAACCTCACAGCCCCAGCTCACGCTCCCAGCTTTGCA